TAATAAATAAATGAAAAGAAAGTAAAAGTTATACACAATAGACAAAGATTTTTATTCTTAAAAATATGATAAAACACCCGAAAAGGATTGGAATTGCTATAAGCTGCAAATGCGATTATATGTAAACGAGCAAATATTAAAAATAATAATTACAAATTTTGTACAAATTAATACAGCTATACAATAAAAATTAGAGAATGTGAAAAATAAAATGAAAACTGATATTGCAATTTTTAATAAAAAAAAGTGAGTTTGGTTCAAGGGCATACATATGCATGTACGTTTTTTTTTTGTTGGAACCAGGCACAAAAACAATGCGTGAAGAAAACAACACTCAGACTGCATGCTGTACTGTTTTCATGGATCTTTTAATCTGTTTTAAATCTGCACAAATTACGAATAAACCTAAGCAGATTGTTTGGTGTCAAAGATCGCAGGTGTTCGTCTCTCAACACATTGCGACCAAATGCCTCTGCGCAGTGCACGGACTACGAAAAAACTAATATTGGTAGATTTTACATACAAAAAACAGTAGAAGTTGGTAGATTTTCTAAAAGAAATTAAATCAGATAGTTTTTACTCAACATTGCGAATTCATAATATGGTTCTTAATGGCATTGTGCTTAAAATTTTTTAGTGTAATTTTTTTTTGTGTCACATAATATGAATTCGCCTTGGGATAAATTGTATTTTTTATATAAAACAACATAAAATGTATTTCACGTGAATAAAATATTAAACAAAAAACCTATACATAAAACTGGGCCCGGAAGCACGACATCCGTTATCGAATGAAGCTCGATTCGAATCGACTGAAAAAAAATTAAAACTGTTTTTCTCCTATTCATTTTCAAATGAAAAAAACGAATTCACTCCGTATACTCAATATGAAATTTCGTATAAAATTTGTTTCGATCACAGATGCCGTAATTGGAGCCCTGTATTGATTTAATAAGAGGAAGACTGAAACAATTGTTCTCCGTCAAAGTTAACTTTTTAATTTAAGACGCTTTCGATGACAAATATCTACATATGGGTATTCCCAAACTGACGTTACGTGACGCTTATATGACAAAATGTTAAAAAAAGTAATAAAAATTGAACAACTCAAAATCTTAAAAAGGTTTTTCAAGATTTTTATAGCAACCTAAATAGCCCCTTATTCAGGAAAAAATTACAACTGTTAATAGTAGCGATCAGGCCCGTAGCCAGGATTTTTTTCGGAGGGGGGTTCTGGCATTTTTTTTTTTTTAGTTTCACTTTTATTTCAACATATTTTGATTAAAAGAAAAATACTGATAAAAATAAAATACGTATTTCACACAAACAACAAAAAATATAATCGATAATCGCATGAGGCTATTGCCTGAAAATTTTAAAATGCACTTAGTGGCATTGTGGTACTATGATAGCACGGTCCAGTAATCATAGTAAACTTATGTACAGTAATTTTTTTTTAGTTTATTAGTCGAACAAATTATAGCCGCACCAAATTTTCACAAGTTTTAAAATATTATTTTGCTGTTATTTAATTTTGGTTAGTTTTTTTTATATATCATTCTTTAAAACAATCCGTATAAGTACAAGTTTAAAGGCAGTGTCACACGATTGGGTATTTGCCAAAATTTGGTGCAAATCGTATCCCAATTGTGTGAACACCCAAAGTATTTTTCTTTATTCCAATCACGAAAATTAATTTGTTGAAATTTTTGAATAGAACATCGCTGTAATGTACCAATCTTTTGACTACAAAAAAAAATGTCCCTTTTTTTACCAATAGTCCAATATAAAAATGTAAAAATCTGTAAAAAGGTACCAATCGAGTGACACTGCCTTAAAAATTTATGCAATTAAAAAAAAAATCAACAAATTTTCGTTAAAATTTCGAGGTTTCTAATTAATTTCTGAGTATGCAGTTTTGTATGCCATTGAATTCTAGTAGAATAAAGTAAAAGTTTCAAATGGTTAAAAATTTCGATTGATTTTCTAGAATTTTTAAAAAGTTCGAAATTTGTACGAAAGTTTGTTGAATTTTTTTTAATATGGCACAAATTTGGAAACTTAGATTTACACGGGTTTTGTTAAAGAAAGAACTATATTTTTATAAAACAAGTAACAAACGTTCAATAACAACAAAAATAATACGTTAGAACTTGGCAAAAAGTGTTTCGGCATCAATTTTTTTACCACCGTATGTATGGCTGCCAAGCTGCCAATCTGAATTGCAGCGGCACCATATACGGCAAAAGAACGATGCTGCTGACGTATGCAGATGATATCGATATCGTAGATCTGAAATAAAGGGACGTAACCGCAGCATTTTACAGTTTAGAAAAAGAAGCTGAAGAGGTTGGTCTAGCGGTGAACTAGGGCAGGACAAAGGACCTCCCGGCAACATATAAAGAGTCCACGCGTTTCGGGACACATGTCACTGTTGGCAGATATGACTTTGAAGTAGTGAAGGACTCTGTCTACCTAGGATCCCGCATAAACACCACCAACAACGTCAGCCTGGAGATCAAGCGAAGAATAACTCTTGCCAGCAGATGCTACTTTGGGCTCGGTAGGCAATTGAAAAGCAGAGTCCCTTCTCGACGAACGAAAATCACGCTCTGCAATCTCTCATCATGCCCGTCCTTTTGTATGGCGCAGAAACTTGGACGATGTCGAACAAAGATGAAAAGGCTTTGGGAGCATTCGAGAGAACTATTCTGCGCAAGATCTACGGCCGTTTTCGTGGATGACGGGTATCGGAGAAGATGGAATGGAAGAACCAAGTGCAGAAGGAGCTGTCTGCGCTCGGGATAACCAACTGGCGCAAATTCGCACAGGAGAGAGGCAATTGGAAAAGCTTTTTGGTCTCGGCCCAAACTGACAAACGGTTGTAGTGCCAAATAAGAAGATATATTTTTTCTATGTCTTTAATTGGACATGCATGTCAGAACACCTACATTTTCCATTGCAAATGTTTTGTTAATATTGTTCTTGAAAGAATTTTTAACGGGAAGAAAACATGCATTTTATGTCGAACGTACTTTTTATTTTGACATCAGCACCACCAGCGGTTTAATTTTTTGCAAATCTACATATGTCTACTACGTTTCAACTAAACATGCCAAATGTGAAATAAATCAGAGCATAAATACGGTTTTTCAAAATATCTCGACCCTGGCGCCACCTAAAGAGACCATTTTTGGCAAAAACATGTTTGCTTACATAACCAGCTTATATTATAAAAATCAGCCATACCGGTAAAAAAAATAAGTTAGATATGTATAGGACTTTTAATTTTTTTTTTTACGCGAATGACTATTCGCTGGATTCGCCCATATGTTCATTTAAATCTCTTTGCTTTCTTTCAGCAAAATATGGGTCGATTTTTTGCCTTTGTTGGTAAAAAAATATAAAAAGGTGGTAGATCTGCTAATAAAGTGGTAAAGTCCGTGCAATGCTAGTCAAGGCCTTAAGTGCAGCTTGGCTGTCCCTGCAGACACGTAAACTGCTTCCCCTCCACCTATTTTGCACCGCGTAGTTCATGGCCTCAAGGATTGCAAATACCTCAGGCTGGAAGACCGAAGCATACTCCCCAAGAGAAAAATGAAGCTAATCCCCATTAAATTCCGTGAAGAACCCAGAGCCTGACCCAGGTTCAGATTTGGAGCCATCAGTGAAGATTTCACAATGTGTGAGTCCGAGCTAAGTGCTGGTATCAAACCAACATTCAGCCTCACGGACTGGCGTACTATCCTATGACATTGAAAAGACTCAAGTGCTCAGATCTCTGCCGCCAGCAATTTCCGTCTCACCCCACGCAGGTTATACAAACATCCGTTTCTTTTTAGTCTACAGGTGGCCTTTAAGGCCTCCCCACGTATGAAGACGCAAAGTGACTTTTAAGTGCAAGTGTGCATCAAGAGCAGAAAACTTCCGTACAGCACACGACAAAGGTTCTTTGAAGTTTAGCAAACAGATCTCCCAAGCTATTGATTGAGAGTCTGCTCCACTATACCACTGACGCATAGCTGATTATGGGCCTGATCATAGAGGTATAAATCCAGAGGAATCCATTTGTTGACAGGCCTCACGTTTTGCCAAAGACCTGTTTTCATTGCCAAAATGCTGCCAACACTTTGGAGGTATTGTGTTCCTCGTGAGATTTCCACGATAGTTTTGTATCCAAAGTTACTCCTAGATACTTCGGTTTGGCAGAAGTCTGGGCCCTAATCGTAACACCCATTCACGGATCGAAAACCATACGAAAGAAAATTACGTGATACGTCAGTCGTAGAAGCTTAAAGGGATAAAGAGTACGTTCACGTATGTCAGTAATACGATATCGTATGTGACGATTCGATCCCTGAATTGTGACTCCATTAAATGTGAGGGGAATAAGACCATCCAACCTTCACCTTCTAGTGAAGAGAACAACACTAGTTTTGGTTGAGTTAGCGGTGAGCCCATTTCCATTACACCAAGTGTCTGCATCAGGGTTAGCCTTCTACTTATAAGAGAAGTAGCTGCCTTAGAGTGCTGCAAATTTATTTGAGTAACCGCCACTGTACGGTACTATGAATCGTTTTGGTCACTCATTTAGGATCAGTTATGAAAGAAATTGTCCCGCAGGCATCTACAGATTATAGTATAGAATAAATTTGTTGGTTAGGGTCTTTGTGAATTAAGTATGTATGTATGTATGTATGTATGTATGTTCCTTTAATTTTAACTTTTTTCCTGGGGTTCCTAGTGTCATTTCATTAGTATCGCATTATTCAGTTCAAAACAATAAAAAAAACTACATATTTTTTCAAGCAATAACTTTGTTACACATTTTTGCAATTTTTATTTAATCAAATAATTCAATGATACATTATTTCCATTTTTCTTAGTTTCATTCATTTTTAATTTCATTTCAATAAGTAAAAAATATAAAATTGTTTTGCTGAATTCATATTGCTTTTCAAAAAATTCATTAAATGAAAGAAACTAAAATTTTTTAACAATAAAAAGAACAAAATCAAAATCATTTCCTATCACTGATACAGAGTTGTTTTTGAACTTTCATCGTTTTAATTTTCTTGCCTTTTCAAATTCTCGATAATAAATTACAATAACCTCTATACATAAAGGTTTTAATTAAACATAGCCAAAAGTGTTTCAACGTTCATTCCCAACTGCAGCAAATGCATATAAATTTAGAACGCTGTTAACCTGCGTGTGTAGTAATGCATATGTTTGCCTTTTGTAATTAAATCTGCATTTGCATGCAATGGGGAATATGATTAAATTATGTGCTTCACTTACAATTATTAACATTATATACTAAAACTGTATGTGTGTGTGGATAGATCTAATGCGGATTATGGATAAATGTATAGGTATATTTTATTTTAAATCTGCTTTGTGTGATTGTTCTTGTTGAAATATATATTCAGCGTATGATTCGGCCTCTTCACGACGTCTGCGTTCCAGTCTCGGCCTGATAGCGAAACGATAAGTGCCAACTATGGCCAACGTCGAGAATATACCAGCTGCCATAACAGCAATTGGCGAATTTTTTATATATCCAACGAGATTAGTGGAGCTCATCTAAAAAAAAATATAGATATGCATATGAATATATTTTTATATTTTCAATTTAACATTATGCGTGTGTGTAATGAACAGCTACGAGCATTGAAATAGTAATGGGTCAAGCAAATCAAACTTTTTTAGACTATGCAAAATTTCAATTTGTTTTGCGAACGAAGGGATTGCAAAAGTAAAGACGACTTTCCCAAACTATGTATGTGTATAAATAAAAACTTTTGATTCTCCAGCTCGAAATATGTACGTACGTACATAAGGTCAAGTTAAGCATTTCTTGAAATCCAAATATCTCGACAGCTTATGTACAGAGTTGATGTCATTCAATAGTAAATATAAACTTCTTTAATTTGATATACAGTGAAAGATGAAGTAATAGAAACTCTTTGTTTTGGCCAGTTTAGCTATATTACTTTTGTTTATTCGATATTTAATATTTTCTTATAAAAACTTTAAAAATTCAAAAATTTCAAAGTTTTCATTCCGATTTTTTTTTTAATTAATTTTGTGTAAATTAAAGTGCAAGTTTGCAGACGCTAGAAAGTCGCGTTAATTTCGAAAACTATTTTGAAAATGTATTAATGAAATTTTGCACAAGATATGTTATAAGATAGGCAAAGCTTTTAAAAAAAAATTTGTCATTTAGAGTTACTGTCACGCCGCCCTATTATATAACTGCAATTTTTAAAAAGGCAAAAGCTGAAATATTTAACTAACTACAAAATCTAAAATGCCCAAAGTTGATATTTAGAATTTTCTTATAACAAGGAATTATAAACTGACCAAAGTGGACTTAAAAATAATTTTATTTTTTAATCCAGGGCGTGGCAAATATAAAAAAGTAAAGTCGGGTCAACAAAATTCCGTTATAACTTCAATATTTCTTGCCCTATTTAAAAAAATGGGGTACCATTCGAAAGGTAATGAATCAAGTTTTCTCAATTCAAAAGCGAAAATACAAAAATTCGTCTCGGTCGAGATAAAATGCAAATGAATTACTCGAAGAAAATAAAATTCCTAGTAGGCCTGAAAAAAGATATTTTCATCAAAACCAGCACTTTCCAGCAGCTAAACTTGTGTTGTTTGAAGTCTAAGAGGAGTGGGAAATAAACTGAGATACAAACTTTATCGAATAATCGCGGATAACGAGTTTGCGGGTGTAATGAAATTAATAAATTGCTAAAATTAAAGTTAAGGTAACATCGTTTTACTTTAACATGAAATACTCAGTCCTAATTTACTTAAATCCCAAAAATGTATATTCATTAAGAAGAACATAACAAAAAACGACCAAAATGGTATTTTAGCAATTGTTGCATAAATCACATAACACCGACAAATCAAACATTGAGATTTAGTTTCGAATATACAAATTTAAATATTATTGCGCTTGGTAATTTTCCAAATAAAAACCCCGTCCCACCCTGCACTTTGATTTAAATTTTTTAGTTGTTATTGTTTCGTCTTTATCAGGCATTTCTAAAAACATTTTTGACGTTGTTTTGAAATTTGGTGACATAAAATAATTTAATTAATATTTTCTAGAATATGGAAATAATACACTGTGCGCTGCTAGGCATTTTCTTCCATATAAAAAGAAATTTTGAGCATTGTCGAGCATACCTTATATGGAAGAAAATGCACAACACCAAAAGCCAAAAAAATTTGCTCTTTAAATTTGAAATTTTTTGTGGATTTTGGTAAAATTTGTTGAATTTTCATAATTTTTATACAAAGTTTGAGATGTGGATTTATATAGTGCTTGTTATATAACACTGCGGAACACAAAAAAAAACCTAGAGTGCGCATATATCAGGTTTGATAGCTATTGGCCATACGGACAATGCCTCATACTCAGTTTTACTATATCAATTCGTGTTCTCAGAAAAAAAATGCATGATCCCAATATCTGCGCAAAGCGCACAGTGGGAGAAATGACGAAAAAGCTGACCAATATTCGAAAAATCAGAGTTGTCCGACTGTTGCAAAACATAGTAATTTGTTAAGAGGAAGGTAGATTGCATAGTGGATGAAAAGTATAAGGCACGCTTTTTCGTATCTTCTTCAGTAGAGCAGTTTGAACTTGCTTTTCTCAATAAACTTCGTGCTGCTTTTCTCATTGGCTCTAAAATTGTGCTTCGGAAATTTGATTTTAAAATAGTCGTTAAAGCACTAATTATTTTTTGTAAAAGCTATCTCAAAAAAAAAAAAAGAATCAGGATATTTGTTTATTTGATTGTTGAAAAAGTTGTGATCGCGGGAGATCGGGCTATTCTGCACTTTTAAGATAATAGCAAAAGTAACGTACTTCAAGAATTCAAAAAGAAAATAATCACATTCGTCCAAATTTTGTTGTAATTCACGATTGAATAGCGCGATAAAATAGTGAGTGCTCATTGTTTTGTGTGGAAAGCTTACACAAGGCAACACTGCTTTTGCTGCGGCAAATGTTAAAGCTGCTTTTGATAGACTTTCCATCAGGTCTAGATTTGGAGAAAAACGAGATCAAAGTGTAATGGCGTTTTCGTTTCTACCAAAAAAGGTTACCTTCTCATTGTCCTCTAAGCACAAACACTAAGAACCGGGTAATGGATAACATTTTTTGCAGAAACGAAAACTCCACAAAAAAATCACGTTTTTTTTCAATATTTGAGAAGCTCTAGCAAAGAAAGAAAATGTGAAAGAACCTTCCGCTTAGGCATTAATCAAAGCTACAACTCTCGACTACTGTCCCTTAAGATACCCCCCTTGCACCTAAACCTAATGGTTACATAAAAAATATTGGAAAAAAAATTTTGCTAAAGTCAGGGTCAAGATGGAGGGATGGCGTTTTCAGGAACAGTAGTCGAGCTTTCTAGCTTTAATTTAAGCCTAAGTGCAAGGTTCTATCATGTTTTGTTTTAGAGCTTCTCAAATATTGCAAATATTTTTACACTTTGGCCTCGTTTTTCTCATCTACAGCTTCCCAAATAAAAGACTTGAGTTTTTAAAAAAATACCGTTATATGGAAATTGGCGCATTTGTGGGCGGATTTGCTTTATATTAACAACTTATACTAATATTCACTAAAGAAGCTTGTGTTCTAAATTTGAAGCCTCTGGGTTAATTTTTACTATATATGGCCAGGTTTTTGTGATTTCTCCCACTGTGTAGCGGCCAAATTTTTTTCTCCAAATTTTGAAAATTCTTCGTTTTTTGGTCTATGTTTACTTTCAACAAATATAGGCAAAAACACGATAATTTTCAAAATTTGGATAAACATTTTTGACCGCTATACTGAGTTTTATGGATCCTGAAAACTGTTTTCTCGAGAAGTCGAATAGATCTAGTTAATCTGAGTACGAGGTATTGTTCGTATGGCCAACAGCTATCAAACCGTATATATGAGCACTCTTAAGTTTTTCTTTGTGTTCCACAGTGTAATGCGCTAGACTTTCATAAAAAAAATATGAAATATGGAATAAACAAAAGCAATATAGCCAAACAAGTAATTTTTAGCAAAAAAAAACCGACTTAAGAAAATATATATATATCTATATATTTCATGATTCAATGATCGGATCTAAACCAAATTAGTATGGGACCACCTCTGAGACACTACCTTTCCGTTGCAAAAAGAATTATCGAAATCGGCTGACGTGGTCCAAAGATATGCGGTAACATACATGAAAAAAAATAAAAAAAAAATAAAATAAAAAAAAAATAATAAAAAAAATAAAAAAAATATAAATAAAAAATATATAAAAAAATAAAAAAATATTCCGACGAACTGATAACCTCCTCCTTGTTTGGAAGTCGGTTAAAAAAGTATCTCTTATTTCTTCCACCACTGTATAGACGTTATAAATATCTTGTAAAATTTTTGCAAACAAATTTAAACGACGGTGTCAAAAAGACGAATAGGGTTTTAAGGCCAACTTTGGCCAAGTGTTGAAATCAAATAATCTCTGACCCCTGAAGACCTCTTCAAATTTCTGGGAGCTATGGGGTTGTTTTATGAAAACGGGGGCGGTAGCGATGACAAATACATAAAAATGAGAAGCATTCCCAGCATAGCTAAATAGCCCAAATCTGTATCGGTGACAAAAATTGTGGGAAAATTTTCCAAAACGGATCCAGGCTTTGGAAAAAAAAATATTAGGGAGTATAGAGGAGCATTTTCAGATTCTAAATCTGAAGACCCCACCCTCCGGAGGCTTATAGTTTTTAAGTAATTCGCATTTAAAGTTGCTAAAAATACCGAATTCAACCTCCCTTTTTCCCTTGTATACCAACTGAACTGAAATGTCGGTGCTACCATACATACCAAAAGATGCAAAAAAAAAACAAAACGGAAACAATGAAAATATGCACATAATGTTGCGCGATATTTTATTAAAAATTGTAACTATTTATAGCGCGATTTATCGAAGTATCGATGTTATAATAAAAAGCGCCATAGGGGAAAATTTTTAATAAAAAATCGCGCGATTTTTAAATAAAACTTTTCATTTATCGAAAAATTCAAAATATCATTATTTATTAAAGTATCGATTTTATAATAAAAAAGGGATGCGGGCGAAAATTTGTAATAAAAAATCACTCGATTTTTAATTAAAAATTTTCATTATTGAAGTATCGATTTTATGATAAAAAGCGCCGCGGGCGAAAATCGTTAATAAAAAATTGCGCGATTTTTTATTAAAAATTTTCATTATTTATCGAAGTATAGATTTTAAAATAAAATGCGCCGCAGGCGAAAATTTTTAATTGAATTTTCATGATTTATCGAAGTATCGATTTTATAATAAAAAGCCCAGCAGGCGAAAACCAAGATGATATAGTTTATAACATCCTGACCAAGTTTCATGACAAAATTCGATATACTTTCGCTGAAATCTCGATGGGTTCCGTTTTGGAAAGTCAACCCAAAATTTTTTACTGACGAAATCTAAAATTTCGTTAATAGGTTGATCAACTGGCTGGCCGATTAATCAATGCGTGTGTAGGGCCTTGAAGAGGTA